AGAGGTCTTTCCCTTCGTCTTGCAGCCATGGCGTCCAAACCCGACGACGCGGCTACCGTGGTGGACTCGCTTCCTGAACTTCCTAATCTCGTCGACCAGAAGAAGCAAAAGCAGTCCCTCTTGGGGTACTTTTGGGATACCGCGGATCTCAGTCCTGAGGAGCGGCGTCTCTTGTTTAAAGTAGACGCTTCGGTGCTTATTTTTGCGTCCGTAAGTACTGTTTTCTCAGGACCTGGCTACTAACTTAATCTTGTTTTAGTTGGGTTACTTCATTAAGAATCTGGATCAGGTAGCTATCCTGTTGCTGTCTGACATGCATCTTACCGTTCTCTAGACCAATGTCACTAGTGCGGTGAGTTCCATCTGTACAAATTGTAGGCACTATATTGATTTTTGCCCTTATAGTATTTCGCTGGCATGCGCGAAGAGTTGTACGTTGCCTTTAACAATCCGTTGTTTGATGTTTGTATCTGATTATTTTCAGGGGAATGTATGGAAACGAACTCGTTCACGCAACATCTTATTGGACTGCCGGGTGAGAAGGGAACATCAAGTTTGTAACCGATGTTCATACCAGCGCCTCTAGATACGTCATTGGTCAAGTGCCCTCAAACCTACTTCTTACGAGAATATCTCCTCGCTACGTTATCCCCGTCGTAAGAGATTTCCCTCTATTACATCTCATAAATACCTATATCTTCCTTTGTCATCCCAGCTCGAACTCGCCTGGGGACTCGCGACGCTCGGCACCTACGCGGTGAAGAATGTACAGTCGCTATTTGCCCTTCGTTTCCTAGGTAACTATTGTCGTTCTTCTATATTCTCCTTGTCCTGATCGCCGCGCCAGTTGGTCTCTTCGAGAGCGGGTTTTATCCAGGGTATGCCTTGTCGAGTTCCAACGACACTCAAGCCTGATCTCCTCTTCCTCGACAGAATGCACTTCATTCTTGGGTCATGGTTAGTCCTGCAACACCTCTCTACCAACTGCCCTCATCTTTTTCCGGCTTAGGTATACCCCACGGGAGCTAGCAAAGCGATCTGTGATGTTCTGGACCGCAGGATCACTCGGTCAGATGTTCTCAGGTTTTTTACAAACCGCAGCATACAAGAATCTGAACGGTATACATGGACTGAGCGGATGGCGGTAGGTCGACTGCATATCGTTGAAAAGCATAGCTAACCTGTTCCTAGATGGCTGATGATTGTAGACGCTGTCATGTGCGTCTAAAAACACATTTTTTATGCGTGCTAAGAAACGTTACAGAACACTTCCTATCGCCGTGCTTGGATTCATCTTCCTTCCGGATCTCCCTTTCAATGCTAAGAAATCATTCCTTCTTAGTCCAGATGTACGTTTTCTTGATCGCTGATCCGTTCACAAATGCAATTCGCTCACAAGGGGTACCCCTGCAGGATATCGCTCTAGCCCGTGCCCGAATGAAAGCCATAGGGCGGAAGGAATCAGAACCATGGACGTGGGCAAAGGTCGGAAGCAGGCTTTCTCATATCTCCCGTTCTGACATGGCGTAGCTTCGTCGGATTCTCACCTCCTGGTACATCTGGATCTTGCCCATAGAATACGTTCTGTGGAACAATGGCGGTGCCCAAAGTCCTATGCAATATTGGCTCAAAAGCTTCCATACCAAACCCGCTCCTGTTCCGGGGAAGAAATACACCGTATCTCAAATACAACTGCGTGAGTCGACCTATGCCCTCGTTCCTTTCGTCCTTTTCTCAAATTCCCACAGTACCCCTTCCTGCAACTGCCGTCTTCGTTGTCACAGCGTGGTTCTTAGCTTGGCAAAGCGACGGACCATTCAAAGGTTGGTTGTTCCTATCGTCTTAGTCAACGCTGACTTTCCCAAAGGCAAAAGATATCCATTTATATACCTCGGCGCGGTGCTCAATCTTATATTTAATATCGCTTGGCTTGCTATGCCTCTGTACGAGAACATACCGGGCCATTTTGCCTACTTTTATCTTATGACTACTGCGGTTTGTCTGGATATTCTCCATCTCCTTATCGTCCTCTAACCAAAGTATCCAGTCCACAGCCGGGCCGTTGATATTAAACTGGGCCAGCGAAATAACGCAGGCAGATGTCAGTACTCGCTCTTCCATCACGCTGTGCATCATTTGATGATGTATTGGATACAGAATGAACTTCGGGCTCTCTGCGTTGCCCTCGGAAACGATCTTGCATATGTCGTACAGGCTGTTGCACCCAATTTTGTCTGGAAGACGACGGATTTCCCGCGAGCGACGAAAGGTTACCATTGGTCTATCAGTATGTCGCATTTATGCTATCCCTCTAAGCTTGTTTTATAATCGCCTTCGACAGTTCTCCAGGTCCTTCTGAGTAGGTCTTTCCTCGTGTTCTGATCCGGAGCAGATCACTGACGGTGCTTTTCGCAGTTCTTTGGACTCTTCTCATACAGCTCCTTCTTCGAAGAGACGAGAGAAAGAAGAATGGACAACTAGAACAGACTATTGAGGCCGGTCAGGCTTCGAGCTCAGCACATCGAGCCGAGATTGACGACGACCCAGTGAAAGTGAGCGAGGATGAGCCTGAGGAGAGCAAACATAGTCGTTGACCTCCACGCACGTTCACTTTGCTATAGTCTTAGATATTCCAGCTTTTTGTACAGGATTTTTATGTGATTTTCCCCATTTCCCATGTCCGAACTTTATATGCAGGCTGCCATACCCTGAGCTTTACACTGTGGGGACCCGGACTACTTAGTCCAGTTTCTGAAAATTTGTTGCATTTTGTCCGAACGGAAAATGTCTTATTTTATGCGAATTCCTCCCGGCGCGTAGACAAATTTGCTCCAAAAGTTCAACATTTGTCCGAACTTCTATCTGGATTCAGCGACGGTTGCCCCCAAATGTCGGAATGTTAGACACGGGTTCAAGGGTCAATTTGTCCAAGTCCTATCCGAATCGTGACCTGGATCTTGGCGTATACTCCGGGGTCTCAAGTCACTGGATGTGGACTAAGAATAGAAAAATGGAGCCTGGCAAATTTCACACGCTTGCGCTTCGTGGCGGTGCAACGCAGCTGCGAACACCTCTTGTACCTCAACCACCACCATGGAAGGCTGGAGCAAGCTTCAATCAAGCATCGGCAGCCTCAATCTTGGACAAAGTGCCAATAAATTTGCCAAGGGCTTCAATTCGAGCGTCCAGGCAACGAAGGAACGACTGGGCCAGGTAGCGCCGGAGGAGATTACCGAGCTTCCACAGGGTGAGCGTCTGTGTTAGTGACACGATAGAACCACGGCCAATGAGTGATGCACTTCAGAGTACAAGGATCTCGAGAACCGCATCGACTCCCTGCGGAATGCCCATATTGCCCTGCTCAAGCGAGTAGTCATTCAACATCCATTCTTACCCTGATGCTGATTACCTTGCAGGATAACGAAAGTCTATGAGCACGAAGGCTATGACTATCCCACCCAGATCCAAGAGTCCATTTCTGAGCTGTCCACGTCCATCGGTGCAGGTCTGACCAACTTTGCCGCCAACAACCTCAAGGGAACCAATTTGCCAACTCCCGCACCCGTTGTAGCTCCCCAGGCTCAGCACAAGACGCTTCCGCATGCATTGGGACGAGCGGCGACGGGTGCGGCGCAGGGGCTAGGCTCTGAGGACAGGCTAGGGAGAGCCCTGGCTCTTTATGCTGGAGGATACGACAAGGTTGCGACGGCAAGACTACAGCAGGACGAGAGCATCCGTGTAGGGTTCCTCCACCCGTGGCAAACGACCTTGAGCACCTCAATCCAGGTTGCGATGAGGGCGCGGCAGGCAGTCAAAGTTAGCCGACTGGAGCTGGATGCTGCTAAGCAAACGTACGTCGTCATCTTGTCGTTTTTGGCGATATGTCTGACTGGTGTCTGCAGACTGAAGAATGCCAACCCATCCAAACAGGAACATGCTAGACTGGAGGTCGAGAATGCGGAGGATGATCTAGTGCAGAAGACCGAGGTGGCTATCACTCTGATGAAGACGGTTTTGGAGAACGTCAGTCTTATTCTCGCTTTGCTTTTTACCCCGCTCATTGCCACTACGTAGCCGGAGCCCCTCAAGAACCTCAATGAACTTGCCAAGTCACAGCTTATGTTCTTCGCAGCCGCAGCCGAGGCACTGTCGAGCGTACAAGGTGAAATTGAGGAGTTAAGTGTTGCAGCAGAGGGAGAGTACAGGTGAATTTGTTGTTACGATACTTTCACGTATCTGAAACTCTCGCCCTAGGAAGTCCCGTGACCACTGAGGTTCCTCTGAACTAGTTTTATGCTTGCTTCGGTCCATTCTATTCTATCTTCTGTTTCGACAATACCATGGACATATGGAAGACTGTTATTTCGTCTAACTAAACATTTTCCTTTTTGCTCAGCGGCCGGCTGGTCGGTATCGTATCTTCCTATTACCATGCAAAGAAAATAACAATAACGGCTTCGGTAATACTCTGTTAGGTTCTGGCGGAATGGAACGAGAGTGACGACGAAGCATGTAGCAAATATAGTCCATAAGCCGTCGAGAACAGGTATAACAAATATGAGAGGATCAATAAGTTCAAAGCAGGGATAGTCTTTGTCTGACGGAGTATCTTTAGCTTGAGGGCTTCGATGGTGTGGCAGACTCATTGGATCTCTCGTTTGATCGACTTGTCCAGCGTAAGAGCATTAACTCCCGAATACCTTGATATAACGCTTTCCAGTGAATGAGAATTTTCAATGCTTGGAATTTAATGTGCTTGCGAAACTGCCAAAACTATTTCACATGAAGAAATACTCCTAGGGGGAGTGAAAGCATTGTTGGCTCTCAAGTTGTAATTTTTCTGTTGTACCATGATATTTTCTTAACATCGCAGATTTTACTGCCGCAATGCCCTCGTCAATGTCTCAGTTTACTGGTTATATGTGGTTTGTTTGTGGTCTCGTTCCGTAGTTGCTCATTTGCTCAGCTGATTTGATATCCTTACTCGCCAAACGCTGCTAGACTCCATAGCTAAGTGGTTATAGCATGAGATTGCAGCGGTTACCGCAATGGTCCAAGCATCATTTAATCTCGGGGTCGCGTGTTCGAGTCACGCTGGGGTCTATTTTATCAATATTATTATCCTTTTTTCCTCGACGGCGATACTTTCAAGAATCAAGATACGAGTCCGCAACCTGCTCTCCACGGTGCCCGTTGCCTATGATACTCGGGGACGACTTACGAGCTGTCTAGCCTTAATGCCAAGGCCTAGTAGTAGCCGGACCGTGCCATTGCTGATCCAACTGACACGTTTGTGCTGTGGGCCTACCTCAAGATATACTGGATGAAATATAAATCCATCTCCTCCTCGATATTTCCGCGCTCAAGGCTTGCTCACTGATCCATCCTCCCTCCTGCTTCCGAACCACAGACTACTTTTTTTGCCGAAAGTACGAGTCCAGGATTCTCATATCTGTCTCAAGCTCCAAAACACCCTTTGAACGTACAACGACATCTGTTCGCTCTTTCCTCTTAGACTTCCTGTCCTGTCCTGAGGAGCGTGGCACTGGATCCCTTTCATCGGTACTGCAGCTCCTCCTTAACCCAAAGACTCTATACGCTCGGCACGTAGAACGTTTTGCATGCTGGGCTCGTCCGATTACCAGTGTTTGAATTCTTATCTCGGACAAGATTATGTTTGACGCAATCTCTCAGCTCTATTCCTTGGTTTCCAGCTTTAATAACCTTGGGCTATATCCGTTACATATCTTGTCTCTTTTCTTCCCGCGTCCAGCACTTCGAAATGAGCAGCGTTTTTCTCTCTGGACGATATAGCATATACTCGGTCTCTAAATCTGGCCTCTGCTCTCACTGCATCATCTTTTATTTCTTGTGCTGTGCCTATGAAGTTAATGTCTATGTAGCTTCCCGCCTCTCACTTCGTCCAAATCCTGTGACCGGACCACTGCCCGCTGTGGAGTAAATGTCGCACCAGACTTGTGCTTGTGCAGCTGGCTGGCAGTGATACTTATTTCACAATGCTCCAGATTCTGGCTTTTAAAGGTGAACATAAATTGCGTCCTTTCAGTGAAGAGAATATCGAGAGGGTCCTACGCAATGCGACCATAGATGCAAATAGATTCTTACGCCCACCAGTTGCTTGGACGCGGACGTTGGGCTTCATTCCAGACTTGGAGAAGTCGGATGAGATAGGATGGGGAAAGACCCGGTCATCATACGCAGCACGTTTATATGAAACTAGCATAGGTGTACCAAGCACGAATTGCTCACATTACATAAATATTCTGGCGTTGTTAACTTTACTTCATCTCGCCTTCTTTAGTGATTTCTTCATAAGCAAAGAAAGAACGCTCTCTCAAACAGTAGCACCCTATCTCTGGCATACCCATCTTACTGGGAGGCAGTCCACCATCCTTGAATTTGCAAGGCCGCTGTGGCTAATCATCATTCTCGTCGCCATCCTGTTTATGAAGCAGGCTATAATATCCGGCTCGCCACTTATGCCCCTTGGCCAATTGGTACTCTATCGAAGATCATAATTTTGGACATACAGTAGATGAAGACTAGTAGGCGCTAAACTTTATGGATAACAGTAGGTTCACATTGTAACGGGCACAAGGATACGCGTGCTTGGGTTGACTGGATAGCGAAAGAAATTGCTAGGGAACTAGAAAACTGCAGTGCTGGGCTAAGCGGTACATTTTGTCCTGGTCCGGTGCTGCCGAATATTTTTGAGGGTCTAAGAGTGTGGACGATATCACGTTCCCGTGAATAGGAGCTTCCCCATCTACTCTTTCCTTCCTACCACCATCTTCTCGACTTTGAAAGTCGTGTTATATCCCTGCTTCTTCCACATATCTTTTATATTTCACATACTATGCCTTTCAGCAGGGTTCCCCACCTCGTCGGCCGGTCCATCGCTAACGGGAGGCTCATCCTCGTCGACCTGCTCGGTTCTGGTAACTACGACCAGGTGTACAAGGCCCTAGACGTCGAGGCCATCAATAATTTCTCTTATTTTGCTGTTAAATGTATCGAGATTGATGATCCTAAAAGGGCTACAGCAGTCAGCAAGGAAATCGTTTCGCATGCTATCGTCTCTCGACATCCTAATATCGTCACATACCGATCTACATGGGTCGAAGAAGATTATATCTTTATGGTCATGGATTATTGCTCTGGTGGCGAGCTGCACAACGCCATCCGGGAAAAGAAGGTATTTTATCGCAACGACTCACTGGTGAAGCAGGTCTTCCTTCAGGTCATCGATGCTGTGCAGCACTGTCACAACAATCAAGTATTCCATCGCGACATCAAACCTGAGAACATCCTTTGCTCGGAAGATGGGATGCAGGTATTCCTTGCTGACTTTGGTCTAGCAACTTGTGCAGACGACTACGCGTTGCGGGGGGCAGGCACCTTACCGTACAAGAGTCCTGGTGAGCCTCCTTTTTAGTGGCTTCTATTCCCCTCTTAATCATATTTTTCATTAGAATGCTTGGGCGAGGATTTCAAATCCCCCACCTGTTCAACGAGGAGCAGCGACGTGTGGGCTCTAGGTGTCGTCCTCATCAATATGATGGTTGGGCGAAACCCTTGGCTCGCTGCTAAGATTTCAGATCCATGCTTCAATTATTTCCTCTGCAACCCCGACTATTTTCTCAAAATCTTTCCTATCACCCCTGCCGTCAACGAGGTCCTGCTCCGCATTTTCGATCTACGGTCTTCGCAACGTATTGCCCTCCCAGAACTCCGCGCCGTGATTAGCCAAATGGATAGATTTTTCCTCACGGACGTCGAACTTATCAAAGCTCCTTCGAGAGTCAAGGATGTCGACCAATCTTTCGGCATTTCGACGATGCCTCGTCCGAGCACTCGCGCGGCGCCGATCGGATTAGGCTTGGGTATCGATTTTAGCTTCCTTCTGCAGGAGTCCTCGAGGATCATTCAACACTTACCTCCCGTTCCGCACAAAGGGCCCACGATACAGCCGCCTATCTTGACTCGGGCCCGTGCGACTGTCGGTGCGCTTCGCTTGGTCTTGTCTTCTCCTGATCGTTCACTCTCACAATGATTTGCTTACTTGCTTGCTTTCGGTGCTTTGACGTTGTTTTCCACTCTTGTTTTCATTCTTCAGTTTGATTTTGCTTCATCTCTCTCGGACTTGATTGCCTGGATTTTGCACGGACATTTTCGGTTTCTCTTCCCTTGGGTTTCGTTTTCATTTAATTCTGCTTTTCTTTCATCGTTTGGACTTTGAATCTCTTTATTTCTTTCTTTCATGTACTTTATTTTTCTTCACCTCTCTCTTTCTATCTCTCTTTTGCATGTCGGACACAGTTTCGCCTACCTTTTCCTTTCTCTACATTTCGGACTCTTGTTTTCTGGTTTCTTTGCTCCGGTTTTCATCTCGGGTTCTGGGACTTCATATTGACTTGAACTACATCTTTCTACGTCTTTTTCATCATTTCTAGAGGACTTCGTCTGTTTCTTTGGGATTCCTGGGTTTCGGGCTTTACTTGTTTCGTTTTCTTGGGACTATGGGGTTTTGTTTTTTTGACGGGATTATGGTTATCTTATGCTGCTTGGACTCTTTTCTCTTTCTCTGTCTTGATTCTTCCTGATTCACTCTTGATTTCCTTGCTCTCTTTTATCTCTTTCTTTTCCATGCTCCCGTGGTCGGTCTTCAGGGGTTCGATTCCTCTGGGAGCTCTATTTATACGTAGCACCTGGCTATGAAATTTGAATGTACTCAATAGCGCACGTTTCTTTCAGACCCATGCTTTAACTATTTCCTTCGCAATCCCAACTATTTTCTCAAAATCTTTTCTATCACCCCCACCCTCAACAAGGTCGTGCTTCGCGTCTTCGACGTACGCCTTCAAAAAGGATCGCTCTCCCAGAACTCCGCGCCGAGATTAGCAACATTGATCGGTTCTTCCTCGCGGACGCCGAACTTGTCAACACTACCACAAGAATCAAGGACGTCAATCAATCTTTCTGTACTTCGACGATGCCTCATCCTCGCACCTCACTAATTGAATTGGGTTTGGGTATTGATTTCAGCTTCCTTGTGCAGCCGTCTCCGAAGATCCTTCAAAGCTCTCCTCCCGTCCCACATCAACGATTAGCGATGCAGCCGCCTGTGCTGACTCGGACTCTTCCGAGTGCCAGTGCGCTTCGCCTGATTATGTCACTTTCTCTTCGTACACTCTCATGATTTGCATGTTTGCTCGGGGACGTCAATTTTCTTTTCCTTCTTCCTTCTTCGATTTGGTTTGCTCCATCTCTCTCTTACTTGATTGCCTGGATTTCTAGACATTCCTCACTCACCATCTTTTTGCGTTTCGTTTTTTAATTATCTTTTCGCCGTTTTTGGCATGGACTCATTTCCTCCCTCGTTCCTTCATTCAACGTATTGTTCCCTGATCTCTCTCTCTCTTGGATATCGCGAAATATTGTGTCTTTTCTTTGGAACTCTTGGGGTTTCTTGTACTTAAACTTTCTGGGACATTATTCTTTCTCCGGCTTCTGGCTGGTTTCCTTGGGACATTCGGGGCTGTCTTGCATTGCTTGGACCTGGATTCGATTTCTCTTCCATACTTATATTTCTCTCTTCCTTCTCCTCTTTGCGCGCTCGCGGTCGATTCGCAGGGGTTCGATTCCCCTGTGAGCCTTTATGAAAGTTATGAATGTCCGTAAATAGTTCCTTCTTGACAAGGGCAGGATATGTAGAACTTCGAAGATCAATGAAACACTGCCTTCCCGACATTTTACCATCTCCCCTTCACTGTTCTCCTGCTTCGAAAACTGCCACATCATTTGTTGAGGCGATGTATCATCCGAATCTTTACCAAAAATTGCAGCGGATAAACTAGGAACCTACACTGTTTCAATTGAGCAACTTATGATACGGTAGAACATGTACAAAAACACTTTACAGCCTATAATCCACGACCATTGTTCCCATGGCTTTCCACGTTCCGTGTCTCATATTTGCATTATGAAAACCAACAACTCTCTCTGTGATTGTCCAAGCTGTTTCCGCCTCTTTGAGCCGAGCCATTTCTTCTCTCGTCAGAACGGTTGGTGGACCTGATCTT